TCTTATTTGTGCAGGTTGAGGAGCTGTTAAAAGAATACGATAACGTGTGCGTCCGGAGAGTTCGAATGCCAATATCATCAGACCTCAATAACCCTTGAAACTTTGTGAACAAGATTGCTCGTTATGATAAAGTAGTCAACATTCCCAACAGCATGAGCCTATTGGATGAGCTTTTACCGATATCCATTGAAATGGCGAAGAGGAACCTGAAAGGAATCTGGAACTTCACAAACGTGGGGGGTGGTGAGCCATAACGAGGTCCTGGAGATGTACAAACAATACATAAATCCGCAAATCAAATGAACAAACTTCCCACTGGAAGAACAAGCCCGTGTGATAGTAGCCGCACAGAGCAATAATGAGATGAATACATCCAAGTTGAAGAAAGAGTTCCCAGAGTTGCTATCGGTCAAAGAATCGTTGATCAATTACGTATTCGAACCCAACAAAGAAGCCAAGGTAGATGGTAAGGATTTCGTGAACTTGATATGATTATTAAAATTATTATTAGACATTATTATAATTATTATGTGTGGGTTATATAGATGTGTAATGCAAATTATAGTTGAGATGGTTCTACATCTACTATCTAGTAGCAGGATGAATAGAAAAGGCCCAATTAGTTGGGATGTTTATAACAATTTGTTATGCCAAATGATTTTATATATGTTTTTATTACATGGTTCTCTTTTCTTCGCTCACACCCATTTTGTTTCATTAGCCAACAGCTGTATTTTTCAAGTGAATGATAGATTTCTAATAGTTTTATAGAACAAAAATTAATATAAATAAATTGTCTGTAATAATGATGGATGTGAGTTGGTATTGGAATTAATTGTTGGTGGTAAACAAGGAAAGGAATGGTGACGGTTGTGACCATGTGATCCAGTCTTTATAACTTGTTTGCTGCTGGTGCTCCACATTGTTTTGATGATTGTAACGGTGATTTTAGTGTCATCGGTTTCATTTGGTGTAATGGATAAATATACGAGAGCTAAAGAGATCTTTACTTAGTTTTTTATGCAAGTTAGGAGGTACGGAGCACACTTATATAAGATTAGATTGATCCTGGTACAACCAAAAAGTCGCGAGAGACACCGTTTCCTATGTAAAGATTCCAAAACCCCACTTCCTATGTGTAAAACTTTTACAACAAGATTTTATCTAATTTCTAAGCTCTTAAACAATTCATTAAGAAAATTAGAGCTTATTATCTATGGCTCAAGATTTCATTATTATCTCACCATGAAGACTCTAGTTTCAATATTTTTCTCCAATTTGTGCCATCCATCACACGCTTATTTGCCATTAAAGGAAAAAAAGACCTATTCAATGCAAAGCTTATTTGCCAAAAAAAGCATGTTTGTAAGGACTCAGTGACTCAAAGACTTTTACACCTTTTTATTAAAAGGTGTGCCGTGCAAAAGAAGAAATCTTCTAAAAGATTTTTTCACCTTTTTCTTAAAAGGTGTGCCATGCAAAAGAAGAAATCATCCAAAATGGTTATAACGTGTGAAGATTAAAAACATTACCATAAACACAAGTTATTTCCATTTATTAGTGATGATTTGCCCAAAAAACGTCTTCAATACGTAAACAATATAAATTATCAACTAAATCTATAAACGTCTTTCAGACTACATATCTTTAAACAAGTACTATGAAAAAATATTTTTCAAATAATAACAATCGAATAAAAATACATTTAATCGTAATTCATCCTTCCATTTCATATAAATTTATTGATTATTCAACAAAAAAATAATTAATTATAATACTTATTAGCGGATATTAGAAATAAGACAAATAACAAAGTAATATTACATTATGTAAAATAAATTATTTGTTTTACCTAATATAATATCTAAAAAATCAGTCAAAACATAGTTTAAGCTGACGTGATATTTTAAAAACTATTGGTATAAAAAGAAAATTACAGA